ACAAAACAGACAAGAATATAGATTTTGTTTCAGGAATAGTTTTTTAAAATAGGTTTATAATTTGTTTTAGCGGTATGTGATTTTCAGTCACAAGTTTTAGGCATACAGTCATACTTCTTTATATGTCCACCTCGTTAAGGTGTCTACCTCTTTATATGTCCAGGTTTTTAAACATACAGTCATACTTCTTTATATGTCCACCTCTTTATTTGTCCAATTTATATTTTGGCCAACCCTCTATATATGAGTCAGGTCTTTTTAGGCCGGTCCTGCAGACTGCTCTTGGAGGTTTTAGGGTTTTTCATGTGTGAATATTTCACCTTTCACCTCAACTTGACAGTAGCTTTATCTGTAATACATACACTAGAGTACGTACTACAATAGATCCTGATGTGAGACACTTCTAGCGGTGAACGCTATTGTGCGAAAGGATGCACTACGACGCACCCAGTGGGCGGTGTACACAAATGTGCTGGTTGCGATCGAGGTATGCATGCCTTTTGTGGCGTGCATCTTGGTGAGGGTCATGTCTCAAACTCGATTGGTTACTGCCTGTCTACAGATAAATGTCAGCCATCGAATGACATGTGGGAGTCTGGTTTCACTAATAACAGACAGACAGAGCCAGACAAAACGCACCTACAACGAGTGAACCAGGCGGATCGACACCACAGTCTACGCCCAAGCAGGATATATCGTCTGGTATGAAAGGAGTCTCTAGTATGATAATAGATTAAGCTCACTGTTGGTAAGAGGAAGAGAACATATAAACAGACTGTATTATCAAACAAGGTGAGCTCCAATACAACAAAAAGAATCAATCTAAAAAACAATGATAAAGGTGTCATCGTGCGTACAATAAGGAAAGCGGGATACAGCTTAGACCTATCATGGAAAGACAACTATCGTAAGGATTTAGTGAAGGAGGCCGTTCGGGTAGCACATGCATCATTCGGCGTCAGTATCAAAACAATAAGAAGGTTCATGGAGTCTGGAGAGAAGATACTCAGTCAGTCTTATGAGGTACATGCAAAAAAGAAATATCGAGAAAGGTGAGGTACACATCACGAGTTCGAGAAGCGTTTGATTGAGTTGGTCGGTAAGGTTAGAGAAGCTGGTTTTAGTGTAAGTCAGGGCTTGATCGTCACGAAAGGGAAGAAGTATTTAATGAGAGCGCCTAGAATACCTCCTGGTGTGACCCATACTCCCATAGGTTGGATCCCGAACCTGATGGTATGAAACTGACCCAGGCTTGTCTTACCTCTTTATATGTCCAATTATTTGCCAATCCCAGGAACTGGACATATAAAGAGGTATGACTGTATGGGATTTTAGTCGGAGTACATATCACTGTATCCTGGCATAAATATACAGGGCCCACTGGGGCCACAAGGGGCTTTAGTCATAAGATAGTTAGATATTTATTATAGAGAGAGTCCACATGGAGTACTCCACGTTTAGAGTAAAAAAAATCATTCTGAATTCCATTTTCTTTATAAATCATATTTCAAATGTCGTACAAAATGTCTTTTTAGAAGGCTGTAACAAAATCCTAAATATTATACTTCAAAATCCTTGTTTAAAACCAACCAATCACAAGAAGGTAGTATTTAGTACAAAATCAAAAGAAAATACTGAGGTGCCCCCCGGGCCCCCTATGTACATACCTGCACACTGCACTGTCGAACTTTTCCTCTTTTGATTTTTGGTTTGTTGTAAAAAAAAACAGATATGTACATCGAAATCTCATGCCGCGTTCTGACTCTTTTTCTAATATATCGGGGCAACAATGAGTGTTTTTTTTTGAGTATTTATTTCATCTATATTTCAGAGCTTACAGATTGATTTTCAATTTTATCCTGCGACCTGCCCACGCCGGCCCAGGCCACCGCCCACCAGACGCCCCACAGCCCACGCCCCTCGGTCAGGGCCACAAGTGCCACCAGTACATACTGTAGTTTTTACGCCCCAAAAGCAGTGGCCCAGTTCAGGCAGTCACCGGACTTTCACACAGGTGATCGGGCCCCGGCGGCTCAGCCCCCAGGGCCCCCACAAACTCAGTCTCAGTGGGTGACAGTGTGGTGAACTGGGGTATTGACTTGTATTTGTACTTTGTCATATGTACGAGGAGAGTACATAATGACTATTGAGACTATTACATAGGCCAGATATTTGGAAAGAGTAGAGGCTAGAGAATATAGAGTATTTAGTAGTATTTATTTAAAGGCTGAGCCGCTGAACTTCTGAAGTAATCACTTTATTATTTTAATAAAGAAAATAAAAAATAAAACCGAATTGACAAACGTAGCTGCGGGCTGCCTAATAATATAGTACTATTATATTCACATACATACATAGCGAAAATTGAACACCGGCTATTTTAAACAAATGTATTTTATATCACAACATAAAATCTTGTTTGATTTGTTTTACAAAACGAATACAAAAACCCGATTTTTTGGGTTAGGGTTTTAGAAGACTAGAACTTTTGAATTTTGATTTGTCTGCGCTAAATAATGTCGTCGGACGAAACCTGATTTCTGCTCAGAGTCCCAATTCCCAAATCCAGAGAGGGCCATGATATTTATGTAATTTTTTTGCGGGGACTAGATTTTCTCTATTTATTTATTGGTAATTAGGCTAAAGCTATTTATATATTGCACATTTTGGTTGTTTTTGTTTTTGAAAAAAATTCAGCAGTAACTGTTTTTACAGAACTACTCGACTACTCGCCGTAAATTAAATATATAAATAAATGAAACGACGAAATTTCTTTTTACTAAATATATATATAAATATACCGAGATGCAGGCCTATGGACAGTATCTATACTAGGGCGTTCTTTCGGAACTTCAACTAGTCACAACTATGACAGGCAGCACTGCATTAAGTGTATGCGCAACTGTCCTGCTAGGAACTGCAGTTGTACTTACGATGGCAGCGATACTTGTAATATGTAGAAGATTCGATGAGTTCAAGTCTGAGAGAAACTATTTACTGTACTTCTCGTGGACGATGCTAGGCTTCGTCCTTTTGCTGACCCACCAAACGGTGTGGTCATGGGATACTAGCTTATCGCAGAACAACTGGAGTTATATATTATGTATGTCCGCGTAGCTCGGTTTGATATTTGTTCCCGCTTGGATTTTCTTCCAGTTCTGACTTCGTATATGGAAATTATACACGCATGCTCGAACAAAGTGCTTCTCGAATAGTAAAATATCGGAGAGCTACTGGTGTTGGATACTATTTGTATCTACACATGTTTAGTTAGTTTTGAATTTAAATTTCATTGTCGACTGTCTTAATATGCACTTCTGGCTTTGGTTATGAATGAGCATGCATGCTGCAAAGGTTCTTGTATACTGAGTCGATAACTCCCATCTTGACGTTCAAATACACAGTTTTACTGGGCGAGAATCTCATCGTCACACCGGAGTGTCTACGGGCGGCGCGGCTTGTAGTGCTGTACTACGGCTATCCAGCCTTGATCCCAAGGCCTGTGTGGCGGGAATCAACACAAGTGAATCCCATATACCTGCGCACGAATTATCTGATGCTGTACTTATTCCTGCTGCAAGTACCAGTCGTTATACTATGGTTATGCATGGCTACAACGGCCATCATGATGTTCGAGTATATTTGTATGGTATATACTGTGCTACAGATCATCGTGATGCTTGTTTCTGTATCAATGCTACGGCGCAAGAAGGAGGATATGGAGAAACATCAACTGTCGGAATCTAGCGCGGTTTTTGTATTCGGTATGTTCTTAAAAGATTCACCACCTGATAGCATATAGAGTTTATGTCAGCAAGTTATTGCGGTTCTTGTTTTCATGGACGGTGTAAACGAACGCCATGTTTGTATTTTGCTATGTAAAGTAAAGATCAACGTGTCTATGTTCGCTGTGTCTCTGGTAGTCCAAGAATTATATTAGTTGTTTTGCGCGTGCAAACGGTTATGTGTATTTGTGAATTATCTTTTCCGGCTCCAATATTTTATTGTGGGATATGTAGACATATGTATGTCGATTATACAAATCTACAGTCCACTGTATGAGTCATTTCGTACATGGATATCGTATCTTGAACCAATACGATATCTTATTTGTAGTTGCTTGTGTAGTAGCTCTGCCAACGGCTCGTGTATTTCTACAAATTTAATTATATTTTGATTGTCGCCCATTTTTCTGCAGGTTTAGGTCTGTTAGTATTCGTCCTCTTCGATTCTGTTAGGGTCATCGCCGGTCAGGTACGAGATCTGAACGCATCGAAGATATTACATACAAACGCTCTGCTTTCTTACCTTATTCGTATGTTTATTCCGTATGTTTTTTGAAAACTTGTATATCATTTGTACCCATTTTTGTACAGTATCCTGAAGAACCGGATGATTGATATCGCAATATTTGTTGTTTATTTTTTATGAATACAGGAAGGCTACACAGACATCTCAAGTGTTTGGGTGATTGTCGATCTCGCATCCATCACTGTACTGGTTCTCTTAGCGCTGGTTATCTGGGCCACGCACTATCAGATTATACTTGATAGAGTTCTCTCCAAAGGGTCAAATTTGAGGCAAGCCACAGGTTCAGTCAGTTCAGCTGAAAGCTCAACCAAAGGTGCAAAAACCGCGGACGATGCCATACTCATCAGATCCCTGCCGCCGGACACGAACGAATCAACCACGACTGCTCTCACCCAGTCTACAGAGAAATGCTACAAGACAATGAAAAGCGCCGACGCCATCCGACCACATCTGTCGGATTGCCAGAGAATATCTAGTTCTGAGGTGAGAGATTAAGACTCGATGTAGGTCAAAGTCCGTAAACGTTGACTTCATTGGCGGGCAACCGTGCTTTACTTTGTAATTGGCTCGGTCCGTACGTTGTTGCGGTGATATTGTCATCCATTCACGAGCTTGACTTTCTCGGCAAAACTGCCCATGGAACTATCCGAACGGCACATACATCCGCTCCGAACGCTGGTGCCACTTGAAAAGGCAAAAAAAGAGTGGATGTATCGGTTCTGTTGAATATTTGCACATACATATCAGTAAGAAAGACACCACCCACATTGGACGATGGAGGCGTTGTGCATCTTCCACGTGGTGGAGCACACGTTGCATTAACCTTCGGCTGCATCAGTCTTCCTCATTGTGACCACCGTCCGAGCACTGGGCCAAAGTGAGATATGACCGATAACTAGTAGATGTGCAACCCCCTACGGAAGCCCCACATTGAGTAGTAAAAGGATGAGAAGTAAAGGATAATAGTAATGCTATCAGGGATATATATATCCCAGGGCGGGCCAGTTTGGGCTTAGTGCACTGAAGCCCCCAAAACCTTATCGGCGTATGACGTTGTCATAGTAATGCCCGTCAACTTCGCCACCACGCATTGTCCGTGACACATTGCTGGTGAAACGTTGTGGATTCGTTCGCAAAACCTAAGGCGTGTATAATGACAGAATCAGGAATCTATTTAAATAGTTCATCGATGAAAAGCAACTTTAGTTAAAAAATAAATTAAATCATCGATTACACCACATATCGGTCAGTTTATGGGACCGTCTAAGTAATTCTAAAGACTGGAATTTTGGAAAATATTGCATAAGATATAGTTGCACTAACCTTTGCAGCATCTTGATTTAAAGGATCATTGGGATTCGGTTCATAGAAGAGGAAGAGTAGCCCGTGTAGCACCGCGTTTACGTTCAGAACCTATGAATTATGTAGTGAACAAAAATGAACCGCACATTGCTGTACTGAAAAAGAACTACTTCAATCACAAACCTGGTCAAAACAGATAACTAGATTGCTATTATGATGACATAGACGCCCTGAGAGGGAACTTGGACAAAAACTATAACATAGTAAGATGGTAGGTATGACAAAACTGGAGCTTACCGGTTTCCAATCCTCTCTGAGAATGTTCAAACAGATGTTCCCTTGTAGATCAATATTCGGGTGGTATATTTTTGCTAAGCATTTCACCTGCAGATAGCGAATGACGATCACTTAGAGAGCTAATTTCTGTGTAGCTGCTCGACATGTAGGGTCAAATTTCACAAACTAATAACAATGCGCAAGATAATTGAGCCATTCTCATGACGTATCTAAGAGTGTACAGACATATGAAATGACAGGTATACCACTACAACTAGATTTGTAGATGCAGAGATCTGAGAAGCCACACTATGGATGCTGAAGGCACAAAGATAAACAACATATAGAGCATCGTGGTGATAACATTCGTTTCTTTCATACGCGAACTGATAAAGAACCCCTTGTCAGATGAACCTTCGAAAAGAGTTTCAAATACCCATACAAAAAGAAATTAGCTTTTACCTGATCGAGTTAGAGCTGCGAAAGACAAACATCATAGTTTTGGATACACA